CTCTGTAAATTTTCACTGAAATTAATAACAAACTTAAAGTTTTTTAAAAAAGAATTAAGTTAGATTAAAGATGGCAATGGATTTATAACTGCTCAAGCTAATAACACAGGAGGAATAGTGAAAATGTATCCACATTTACAACATTCCTCTTACCAAAACCACTTATGGAAAATAGGTACTGCATTGGAACATGTATCTCTGGATTAGAAATGATGATATTGTTAATACTTCTAGCCTTAAGCTTAAAAGATTATAATGTTCAAAATTATTTGTTATACATTTTCTTAAATTTTTCCCTCTTTTAACAACTGGGATCTAGAGGGAAAAGACCAGAGAATGGCCAAAATTATTGGGGCAGCTATTGCTGCCAATTTAGAGCCTGTTTTACAGATTATTATTGAACTTAAATTCTTATTTAAGTTGTAATCAACTTAAATTTATATTTAAGTAATAATAAAAATGTTAAAATGCTTTAAATATTTGGAAAACATGCATAAAAAGAAGTTATTGTTTCTTTATTTGGGAAAAAACATGAAAAGAGATTATGGTTCTTCATTTAAAAATTAAAATATCGTTAATACTTGTCCACATATAAAGTTTTAACTTTCTTTTTCTCTTCTGAGTTAGCTTTTTCTTTTGTATCATCTCAGACATTTTTCTGAGTTACATTTGCTCTAGTAAAACCTTGATTAAATTAATATTCAGATTTATTTAAATGTGTCTTTAGCACATGAGCATTTATTTTAGCTAAATCTGTGGGTATACCTAAAACTATAAAATCTATCTTTAAAAAATGCACGGTATAAGCAAGCACTGGTGGCCTAGTGGCAAGAAGCTGCACTGCAATACCAGAGATATGAGGTTCAAATCCACCAGATGCTCTGCTGAAGAAGGAGGAACAATTGCCTCCTGTACCAGTCAGATTCTATTTGATGGTACACACATAAAAAATTAAAAATGCATGGTATATTTTACTTAGGTTGAGGTATTTTGCTTGCATAACCTCATGAAGTGTTTTTTTGTTAAATTCCAGCTGAAATTTTTAAGTCCCCGAGAGCCTTTCTACATCAAACATTCAAAATACTCTTTAAGGTAAGTAGACATAAATAAAAATTTTTTCCCTGATATTGCAGAGCTTTGCTTTCTGGCCATAGAAATTTCTCTTGGGAATCAGGGCTCCTACATTTCTCTGAAAGAGAGCTACCTTTGCTGCCAATCACAAGGCTTTGCATTCACCAGCTGCTCTGTAAGAAAGATTTTCAGTCTCCTCCCAGAGGATTTACTGCCTCTGAGAACTTGGCTGGAGGGTCAATGACTTAGCAGCACATAACAACACTTCTGAGGCCAATAGAAACTGCTCCAAGCAGGGTACCTGACTCTTGATGCACCCTCAACACCTTACATAACATCCATGTTTCCTTTATATTTGTATGCGTGCTTGTCTTGGGGCTTCCTCTTAAGTGTATGGCACTTGTCTTCAGTTGGCTGTATGGGTGGGGTAACTAATAATGTTGCTTCTTTTTTTAGAGTTTGTATATGGATATGCTTGCTTGTTTCTAGTTTGCTCTTAAGCATATAGCACTTGTCAATTTCCTGTACTGAGGTGTCTTATGAGTTGCTGTTATGCTAGAAATTTTTCTATTCATATTTCCAATACCAGCAGCATCACCCATGGTGGACAGGCATCAGCAGATCTTACAGTTTAAAAAGCAGGATTGGCCACGCACTTCTGAAATTACAGACCTTCAAAAAACCTTATGAATAGAAAGTTAAATTATTAGATATAATACCAGAAATTAAGTGTCTCAGATTGGAAGACAATGAAAAATAAGGAGAAATGGCTGCAAAACATCCATTAATGATTAGAACACTGAATATATAAAGTACAAATCTAGGAAATGGAAGTTATAAAAAATAAAATGGAACTTATAAAGATATCCTGAACATTAGTGAGCTGAGATGAACTATATTAGCCACTTAGAATCAGACAATCATATAAAATGTTATTCCAGGAATGACAAGTTGAGAAAGGATGGTATCTTATTTGTAGTTAAAAAGAATATTTCACTGTTTATCTTGAAGTATAATCCTGTGAGTAATAGGATACTAACAATTACCATTCAAGGAAGACCTGTTAGTTAATACAACTGTTATTATATGCATCCACCACTAAAGCAAAGATGAAGAAAGAGAGGTATCCTACCAATTTTTGCTGTCTGAAATTGATCAGACATGCAGTTGAGATGGATTAATAATTGATGACTGTTGTTATGTTCCAAAGAGTTGCCTGCACCTCTTAGCGACCCTATATACAGCAGCTCTAAAGCCTGCCCTATCCTGAGCCAGTCTCTCTGACTGACACACCAACCCCCATTGCCACAGTTACTGTATCAATTAATCTCATCTGAAGTCTTCTCATGTGCTGTCCCTCCACCCTTCTGAGCATGATGTCCTTCTCCAAGGATCAGTTCCCCCTGGCCCCATGCCCAAAGTATGTGAGATGGAGCTTTCAAAATCCTAGCCCCCAAGAAGAAACTTGATTTCACCCTCTCCAAGACAGATCGGTTTGTTTTCTTGTCAGTCCGTGGTATGTTCAAGACTCTTCTCCAGCACCACAGCTCAAAGATATTCTTTTGTCATCCTTAGTCATTGTCCAGCTCTCTGATGCAAAGAAAGTAATTGTGAATACCATGGCCTGGATCAGGCACTCTGTAGTCTCTAGACTGACATCGTTGCTTTTCAGCATTCTAGAGAGGTCTCTGAAAGATTTTCCCAGTGCAATTCATCTTTTGTTTTCCTCACTGCTGGTGCCAAGAGTGTTGATTGTGGAGTTGAGCACGTTGTAATTGTTAACAACGTCAATCTTTCCTCCAACTATCATGGTGCTGTCAGTTGCCCAGTGGTGAGAATCTTTGTTTTCTTGATGTTGAGCTTCAATCCATTCTGAAGACTGTAGTCCTTGACCTGCTGCAGCAAGTGCCTCAAGTCCTTCTCAAGGTTGTGTCATCTGCATAACATAGGTTGTTGATGAGTTTTCCTCCAAGCCTGAAGCCACATTACTCCCTTTTTTCTCAATGTTAACCATAATTTGGTATGATTCACACAGTCACATGTCATTGCATAGTTAATAAAACACAGACCTCTTTGTGATAGTCTCTGCTTTCAGTCACAATTCATCTGATGATATCCTTGTGTCACAGTCCATAGACTCTTCTAGCAGTAAGATTTTACCTGTATTGTTATTAATGATATTGTTCAGTAATATCCACATTCTTTTGGATCACCTTTCTTGGGAATAGAAACAGATCCACTATTTCACACTTCTAGTCAGATGGCCAGGTAGCTGTCTTCCATATTTATTGACATTAGAAAGCACATCCATGGCTACATCTCTTTATTGAAATGTGTCACTTGGTATTGCATCTATTTCTGGGGCCTTAATTTTTTTGTCAGTGCTTTCAGTGCACTTTGGATTTCTTCCTCTATTATCATTGGCGCATGATCATACTCTTCTTCTTGAAATGGTTCATTGTTGACCAATTTGAACCACACACCTTTGGGATTGCAGTGCAGCTTCTTGCCACTAGGCTACCAGAGCTCCCTGACCAATTCTTTTTGTACAGTGATTCCATGCACTCCATCTTCTTTTGATGATTTTTGCATTATTCAAGATTGTGCCCATATCATCCTTCAATACTGCAAATTTTTTTTTAATAATTTGAATGAGCATTTACAGAGATTTTGGATTTCCATTCATTCATTGCTGTACTTCTCTCCCCACCCAGTCCTCCCCCCCCCCCCAATACTGCAAATTTGAAGCATGAATTTGTTCTTCAGTTCTTTCAGGTTAAGAAATACCAATCAAGTTCTTCCCTTCTGACTCTCTTAAGTCTAGCTCTGCATATTTTGCTATACTTTGCTTTGTTGTCTCTACCTACCCTTTGAAATCTTTTCTTCAGCATGTCTTCCCCTTTTTTAACCTCTCTACATTTTACTGCAATTTTCAGAGTTTCTACTGACATCTATTGTCAGGACTTTTCTTTCTCTTCTCTTTGTAATGAATTTTTGGTTTCTTCATAGATGGTTCTCTTAATGTCATTTTAAAACTCATCTGGTATTCAATCGTTGTTGCTGTTGTTAGGTGCGGTTGAGCTGAGGATGACCCAAAGTGAGCTAATGAACAACTGATCTGAACTGTCCTATCCTGTGCTGTCCTCACAATCTGACACACTCAACCCCACTGCTGTAGTCACTGACTGTCAGTCCACTTAGTTGAAAGGCTTCCTCTCCTTCATTTACTTTCAACCTTTCCAAGCATGTCTTTATCCAAAAAACAACCTCTCCTAACAACATGCGCAAAGTATGTGAGACAAAGCTTCAATATCCTTGCTTCCAAGGAGTATTTTGGCTTTACATTTTCCCGAATTATACCTGCTTGTTCTTTTGGCAGTCCATGGGATCTTCAGTGCTCTATTGCAATATCACAGTTGAAAGGCATCAATTCCTCTGTCTTCCTTAGTCACTGTCTAGCTCTCAGATGCATAAAAAGTTATTTAAAAAGACCATGGTAGGAATTAGACACACCTTAGTTCTCAAACTGATGTCTCAAACTGCTCCTCAAAAATTTGGAGAGGTTCTTGACTACAGATTTTCCAAGTGCAAAATGTCTTCTGAGGGAGCTCTGTTGGCTTAGTGTCAAGAAGCTGCATTGCAATCTCAGAGGTATGAGGTTCGAATCCACCAGTTGCTCTGCTGGAGAAGGAGGGGTAGTTCTCCTCCTGTACCAGTCAGATCCAATTTGATGGTACACACACAAAATAATAAAATAAAAAAACAAAAATATCTTCTGACTGCTTATACTATGAGTATTGATTGTGGATTCAAGAAGATGAAGTAGTTGACATTTTCAGCCTTTTCTTAATTTATCATGATGTTGCCTATATGGCCATTGGTAAGAATTTTGTCTTTTTGATGTTGAGACATAATCTGTGTTGAAGGTTGTAGTCTTTGATCTTCTACACCAAGTGCTAGTCACCCTCACTTTCAGGCAGTGGATAAGGAATTGCACTTCCAACCCAAAGGCACATGATTCAAATCCACCAGGTGCTACAGAGGAGGAAGATGGGCATTCTTCTCTCATGCCCTTTACACCTTCTGAAAACCTGGCTAGAGGATGAGCTATGTGTCAGTTCTGGGTTAACAGCACATAGCAACAATAGCTGATGATCTAGAGCATTTCTTCATGTGTGTGCTTACTATTTGAATGTCTCCTTTGGAGAAGTATTTTTCTTTTCCTCTGCCTCATGTGGAATTTGGTTGTTTTCCTTTTTGCTTAGAAAATATTGGCATTTTCTATAACTTTCACAGATCAGTCCTTTGTCAAATATGTCTCTACTGAATAATTTTTCCCAATCTCTGTATTCTCTTTTTACTCTTTCAGAGTAGTGTTTTGATGCACACCTAGGAATCTTAATGCCTACCATGTCCCAGTCATCTAGCTTATTATCCTGTGTAAATTTATAGTTATTTATACCGTAGATTAAAGCTCCCAAGTTGGCTCCAATTTTTTTTTAATACTGTTTATAATTTTAGGCTTTATACATAGGTCCTTGATTGTTAAAAAGCCCGTTTTCCCCCCGACTTACTGTATTTCATCTCTTTCAAAGATCAGCTGTCTGTAAGTGTATCTGTCACCGTTTTAAGTACCACACTGATTATCAACACTGGGTATAGTAGCTTCTGCGATCAGGACATGTGATGCCTCTTGCTTTGTTTTTCACTTTCATTAGAACTTTCATTAGCCAGGATTTCTTTGCTTTTCATATAAACTTGGCAGGTACTTGCTACATGTCTTTGAAGAATGAATCATGATTGCAATATCTGTACATTGCTTTTGGTCTTACTGACATTTTCACAATGATACTGACCTATCCATAAGCATGGTATATTATTTTATTTATGAGGTCTCTTTTGGTTTCTTGTAGTAGGGCTTGGTTGTCCTCTTTGTATAGATTTTTTTTATTTTCTGCTTAGATTTATATATAATTGTTTCCTCTTTTGGGTGGCTGGAGCTTTGAAAGCTGAACTAACTG